TCAAAGGTTCTTGACCTTTGAAATCCTAAAATCCATCCTCTTTTAGATGTGCTCATGTCAGTTCATTATTATAGGGTTGTCATCTCATCAAGTCAAGGTTTCTGGTAACCCCTCATATATATATATATATATCTCAGAAATATTAGGAAATTCACCTTGGAAATTTCCCTTAATGAACAGCTCAGTCCTATGTTTGATCCTCTCATTTGCTATGAAAAGGGTGTTAAACAAACTTGACGTGTGCTCAGATTTGGGATAATAGCCTTGCGTGGCTGGTGGTTTTGGATATTTACTTTTGGGTTCGTTAGATCATGACTGTACATATGCTAACCTAGGGTTTTGTTTTTAAAAGAAGGGCAGTGTTAATTTAGTTTTCATTGGGAAAATATGAAAATACATAGTTATGTCTATTTTGAAAGCAGACAAAATAATACAGACATATAGTTGTTTCTATTTCTCCGATGGTATGATATCTGATAAAAAATATTTATTTCAATTGCTCATGGCTTAATAGATGGTCCTCAAACTGTAGAACTAGTATTTCTGGATTCTCATCCTTCACACACTTGGGTAGAGTGCTTGTAGCAAAGAGACACAATTGGCATTTTTGGTTGTATTCAAACTAACACATAGGTCATAGTGTGAATTTTGGTCACATTAGCTAGAGTATAGTTGATGACCTATTTTTCCCCTTGACTTCTGGATCTACACAAGTTGGTGGTGGCTTTCTTTTTTAACCTACCCAGCATTCCCTGAGTGTTCAGTTGTGGCACTTCACTTGTTAAGAGAATGCATTTTGGAGGAATGAGAGACTAATGACAATTGTTTCTAATTTATAATCATTTAATCTATAGTTACCATGCATCTTGGTAATCGTTTTTTTCTCTAAAATGCTTTGCAATAAAGCTCTGTGTCAAGGCAAGTTAATGAAGGTCCCTCTGTATGTGTTCATGTGTGCTCCTGTGTGTACATGCCTTCAAACTTGTGTGGGGAGTGGGGAGAAAGGGAGAGAAAAAGATACAGGGAAAGAGAGAAGTAATCTCTTTTAGTACTCTGAAGAAAAGGGGTATTTAGACTCCTTGCCTATCGTGAAACAAGAGGCTTATGTCTTATTGCTGATGAATTGCAAGTGTAATTACAGAGCATTGCTAAACCACATTAAGTCCCAAGGGCTGAATCAAAAATATACACCATCTACAAAAGCCGTTTAAATTATCTCTGAAAAACCTAGTAGTCAAGTATGAAATCAGTCTGTGAGCAGATATAAACCGTTGCTGGTTATCCATTAAAATTAGCTCCACCATGCTAAGGGCCAACCTCTAAAAGTAAAATGAATGGCCCGTGGCTGTATCTAATGTGCTACTCACAAGTTTCTGTACTGTTATAGAAATGAACAACAACAGTTGAACTTTAAAAATAAACAGTTTTTTGATTGGGTTCCTAGAGAATAATGGTGCTTTTGTACAATTCTTGAAATAGAGCCTACGGCCGCCCAAAATAAAATAGTCTCTTTCAAGATCTTGGAAATAATGACATCATAGGCAGATTGAACCAGCAATCCATTAATAGTATCCTTTATAGAAAGCTGTCTCAGGGGAACACATGGCTAAGTAGACTGGCATTGTTTATAAACATAACATAATAAAATCACTTTTTAAATATGTTTGTGGAATAGTAGGAGATACCTCCCACTTGGGAAACAAATACTTTAACCTCAAGGATTCCTTGCAGGTCCCTACCCTTTCTCCATTGGTCTTCTAAAAGTGTGCTTAGAGGCACTTGATTTGAAGGTGAGTTAAAATACCAAGGACCTCCTGTACTATTCTTTCAACACCAAATCAGAATTATCTGGAATCATTAGCAGAGGATGATTGGTTGTGCCTTGTAACGGGTAGTAAAGAACCGAAGTAATATCAAGATAATTAAAACCAAACCATATCTGAACTGTCTAGGAAAACGGTTTGGTTCATGCTTTATTAATTTCCTAGTGTGGAACTGGACATAGATTCTTCAGTTTCACTTCTGTCTTTGTAAAAGGTGTATTCCAGCTCTTCTTATGATGCCTTGATGAGTTGAATGACATTGAAACACTTTCAGTTTTGTGGGCAATAGGCATGTATGTCACATAGGCTGAGTCCTTTGCAGAATGTCTGTGATACTGACCATGGCAAATGTGTGTTATTGAATTTTTGGTCAGGGATTTTTAGTGCAATATAGAAGTAGTTTGAGTTTTAGATCCCAAGTATTCCTTTCTTCCCAACCTATATTATATGTGGTCAAATAAGGTCAGGGTAATCAGGCAGCCTGAAAAGAAGCAGGGCATCTACCTGCCTCTCTGGTCAGATGGAGTAATTAGGAACAAAAAATGTCACTCTGTTGTTAGCCACCCCTATTTATCAAGAACAAAGGAGCATAGTATTTTAAATTCTGTAGTTGAGCGGAAACCCTGGCTGGCTCAGATTCTTGTCTTATCTTGCAAAATCAGCTTTTTATATCATTTTAAAGAGGTCATGTGGCATGTTTTCCTGACTTCTGTCATCTCAAGTTAAATATGTCATCAGAAAATATATATTATCCAGAAAATGGTGGCTCTCTCTCCCTGTGAGACACTCTTTTTAGAAATTTGTCTTCTAGGTATTTCTATTTTCAAATGTTCAGTTTCTCTGCAATAACTTTCAAATTTCATTATTTTTACCAAGCTAGGTTTTGTATATCTGTATACATATTTATGTAATAATCACTTCATGTTTGTGCATAGTTTTTGAACCCAGAAAAGTTAAAGAGAAAACTAGGGCCTTGTTTCTGGTGGCAAATGTTCTCTGTGACTAAATTAAAACCATGAACCTGTCCAGTACAGAATAATGCTGCTGGTGAAGTCAGTCTTAAATTCACTTTAATTCTAGAGAAACTAGGAATTTAGAAGGACCAACAGTCAAAATGCAAAAGATAATGCAGATGCATTAGCACTGGTCTCATATTCCAATTAAAATATTTACTCTAGTACCAATAGTATCTATGAATATGCTTTATCCTTGACATCCCAATTACTTTTTGATTGTACCTTGTTCTGTAGTTTGACCTAAATAGGAATATGTGAGTTTTATGAAATTGTTGGTGATAGTGACAAACCATTTATTACTTAGTATTTTCACTATCATTATTACTGAAAAAATATAGAATTGGTCTTAATTCATTAAGATAATGCAAGACATGACACTTAGCAAAACCAAAGAGATCTTCCGTTCAAATCAAGATCAAGCCAATTGTTAGTTGTCAATCACCTGTACAGATGGAGAAGCTATTAATTGATAGTAACCTATTCTTGAGTAGTTACAGACTATATATATTTGAGAGAATTTAGAGCAAAATAAAAATTTTGAAATTCTCTACATAACATGATGTAAATTAGAGTGCATTACTGAGAGTAATAAACACATTGTAACCACTAAAGGGCCAGAAGGGATTGATAGATAATTTTTCAGCACAACAGTTAATGAGTAGACCCCTGTCTTGTTTTTATTGTTCTTAGGTTTGTTCATAGTAAATGTTGTTGGAACAAAGTGATATGCTAAGTCATATTTGGAGAGTTATTATGTTCCTAAGTTAGTACCAGGTAATACTTGATAAACTTACAGAGATGTAGTTTTAAAGGGATTTGATTTTCCTTGAATTCAAACTGGGGATTCATTTGGAAGGTACTATTAGTACCTGACTTATGCTGGGGTCAGGACCTTATGGAAGGACTTTAATTAGAGTAGGAAAATACCTGGAGACAGAAACATTTCCTTGGGGGAGTCCATGCTTTTCCAGTTTACTTTATCCTCCCGGGGGAATGAAAACCGAATATACTCAGACGTAGACACAAGATACTAAAGAACAATGAACTTGGCCAGGCGCAGTGGCTCACTCCTGTAATCCCAGCACTTTGGGAGGCTGAGGCAGGTGGCTCATGAGGTCAGGAGATCAAGACCATCCTGGCTAACATGGTGAAACCCTGTCTCTACTAAAAATACAAAAAAAAAAAAAAAAATAGCTGGGCATGGTGGCGGGCGCCTGTAGTCCCAGCTACTCAGGAGACTGAGGCAGGAGAATGGTGTGAACCCGGGAGGCAGAGCTTGCAGTGAACTGAGATCACGCCACTGCACTCCAGCCTGGGCGACAGAGTGAGACTCCGTCTCAAAAAAAAAAAAAAAAAAAAAAAGAAGAATGAAATTAAGAGCAAATAAGCTCCTAAAACCCAGACTGGATCTTACAGCTAGCTACCTCTGTCACCTCCCTTGTCCCTTCTCCCAAGACGTAAAATGTGGCAGGGAGTAAGGTTATGGTGTCTCCTCGGAAACTGGCCCTCTGACATTTGCCCACCTTTATCTTCTGCCTGCTTGGGAGAATATGGAACATTGTTTACCCTAACAGCCACTCCAACTCTGCTGAAACTGCCAGATCTATGGGATGGTTTCTCAGTTAATTATCATTAAAAACAAGAGAGTGCATTTTGTAACTGAGGTACGCACATGTAAGAAATAAACACCAAGGACATCTCGCTGTTAAAGCAGCTAACAAGTCACTGTTATGGGCCATTAAAAATCAACAGCCAAACCTGTGTCAATTCCAAACGCTGAGGAGGCTGATCACCTGACCATTATAATCATCAGGATAGAATTTTAAAATAAGATTGTAAATTGTTCACTAAAACACTGGTAGTGGGGAGGAGAAAATAGAGTTTCAATGCGGGAAAAGCAAAGGGACTTATGTGTTTTTATAATATTTAGAAAGTCATTAATCACTGCCTTCACTTTCCTTTTTTGAAAATTGCATCAGGGTTTTTGAGAGGTAACTTCCTTCCCTCCAGAAGAGAAACCCCTAAAAACGATCCTCACACAAAACCTGAGACAACATGAGAACAATGCTTTTGTTTCTAAGATGTTAGAATCCCCATATTTATTAGGTTGTTTTTAGACCTCTTCTCCCTCAACTCCTGTTTTTTCCCTCCTTTTCTTTAGGAGCTGTGAAATTGGTTGTAACTGAAAATGTCTGACAGTCTGGATAATGAAGAGAGACCCCCAGCTCCCCCACTGAGGATGAATAGTAACAACCGGGATTCTTCAGCACTCAACCACAGCTCCAAACCACTTCCCATGGCCCCTGAAGAGAAGAATAAGAAAGCCAGGCTTCGCTCTATCTTCCCAGGAGGAGGGGATAAAAGTAAAGTATCAGTGGCCGGGCATTGAAAATGGGCTAGTTTATTCTTTCATTTTCACTTTCTTTCTTAGGTAGTTGTTTCTTGAGGATTGACTGTTCAGGGCCTGCCTGACCTTTACATCTACATCTTCAGAGGTTGCATTTTGTCTGAGAATAATGTTTGATTGATTTACTGTGGGTTGGCAGAAAATACATTTACACTGTGTTTTCCTTTCACATAAAATTAAATTCATAGTGTTAAGCCAAGGGTAATCATAGCAACAGTACTGTCTTGAATATATCAACAGTGACTTTCTTTCTGATAATGTAGAGTACAATTTACAATAATCCCTCCCTAACTGTAAGTTGTTCTTTTTGGAAATTTGCGTATAGGTTTACTTCTGTATACCTTTTCGGTAACTGAAAATTTTGAATTCAGTGTATGGGAATCAGTCCACATTGCCACAATATTGTCTCTCTGACTATATTGTAAGTGGGAAGGCATTTCTAAGTCATTTGTTTCCATTCTCATTCTTCAAGCTATTGTCCCCTAGATAGCCCCATGTGCACTGAGTAGCACACCAATATATTATTATTTATCCTTCTGGTGTTTAGAATACCATTTGGTGCTTAAATATCGTATGCTAACGCTTTGTGATAAGTGGGGATATGAAATCTCTAGTAAGTAACTTTCAGGTTGCATTAATTAGCATAAAGCTGAAACATGGCTTCTACAGATATGAAGCAAGTACAGGGGCACTGACACCATGGAAAGTTGTCAGAGGGCAAGAAGGGTGATGTCTTTAGAAGAGAAACAGGACATTCTCAATCTGCTTCTTCAAGGTAAAATAAATAGCTTTGTAGGTCACATATACTGTTAATCAATCTACAATTCTTACCATAAAGAAAGCTGAAACTATTAGTATGGCCAGTACTGCCACTTGTACACCTATATAACTTAAAAGATGCTTTGTTCTTCGTGACCCAAGGATGGAAAAGATGGAAATGAAATTAAACCTCTGGATTGAAGATAAACCGAAGAATAATGAAACACATTCAATGCAAGAGATCTGTGACCATGCAAGAGGAATTTTCAAAGATATGTTTTTAGACTCTGAAATGAATCCAGAAAAATTTTTGTTGGGAGTAAGGGATGGTTTGAGGAATTTAAGGTGCACCATAATGTGGAGACCAGGTCTTATTTGGCGGTTGTGCCAAAGAACAAACCGTTCCTGCAGCTCTCATGTTGTACTCACCACAAATTCAGGAAGTGGCTGAAGAAGGGGATTACGTGCCTGCACAAATCTTTAGTGCTATCGAGACTCTCAAGCTTTGGAACCCTTTGAATACTTCTGAAGAGCAAGAGCCCACTGATGCTGAGGTCAGCAAAATCAGAGAGACTGACATTTCCATTTTTTGCCAATACTTCAGGTGACCTCATAATGAAACCCTTGCTGCTCTACAGAAAACTGTGCCTAAACCCTCTCAGGGGAAATAAATGAGCCAAGTTTCCAGTGTACTGGCAAGCAAATAGAAAAGCCTGGATGAATCCTCCTCTCCTTAAGGGATGGTTTGAACAGTACTTTCTTGTGGATGTTCAAGACTACTTAAAAGAAAAGAAAAATACCTTGAATTCAAAGTCCTGCTAATTCTTCAGTCTATTTGGTGTTTCATGTACATTTGCCAATGTGCATCCTAATGGTAAGGTTGTCTTTATAACTAGCCACATGTCTCAGATTCTTGAGCCTTTCAGTCAGTGTTTGATCTGGCTATTCAGGAAGGCTTATTATAAACTAATGTATAACTTTCTTCACAATCTCGCGAAGTTTCCACTGTCTGAAGATCCTAGTGCATGAGACTCCTACATCATTACTAATGGCATATCCTTAATAAAGGTTTGGCTATTGATTTTTAATGGGTTTTCAGGAGGTAACTTCCCAAAGAGGCATTAGATAGTTTAACAGAGCCTGTCATTAATGTGACCTGTGAGAAGACTTGGCTAGAGGTGGTGAAATATCTTTCCTCTATCCCTCCCAAAGACAAGAAAAACCTATGGATGAGGATGAAAATTTGGCACAAGAGCAATCATTGGCGGAAGTTGAATCTGAGCCTGTTGACACTAATTCAAGTTAATGCTGCTAGAGGCTAATCCTCAGGAAGCTTTGTTGACTCCAGAGATTATTATCATAAGTGATGATGTACAATTAGGAGGCTGTGAGACTGGAAACAAATACAGCTATAAGAAACAGGAGCAAAATTTTTAGAACAAGATTAAAACCTCCCTAAGAAGGTAATTAAAATTGACATCTTTACATGTGTCAAATATTACCTGTTCAAAGTTTGAGTGACTCACAATTCTATAAAGAGGTGCTATGATGCCTTCAAACATAATCATATTGGACAGAAACAATCTTCAATAGAACTTAAATCATGTGCCATTCAATACTATTGCTGGACAGCTGAAAAAACTACCTTCAGACAAAGTTTGATTTAATTAGACTCTATTAAAAGGTCCTATGAGACTTTTGAAAAGACTACATTGGGAAGAAAGAAACCTCAGAAAAGCCTAAATTATCAAGTAGTACCATTTAAATACTCTTACTGGACAGCTAATAAGCTACCTTCAGACAAAGATTGAATGATTAAATTGAGTTCCATACAGAACTGCTAAGGTGTCTTCAAAAAGGACTTGAGAAGACAAAAGCATCTTTAGAAGGGCCACTGAAATTCACTTGCTTGATAGAAATAAAGCCTCAAGCAAGTTGTTATAACTTCAGGATTCGACTTCACTGACTCTAAGAGTATAGATATCCATAATTTGAACTAAATGAATAGTCCACTTCTGTTCATTGCTTCTCTGTCACCCCCATTTGCCACTACCATAATGAGTGATAGATACATCCTCATCACCACTGGAAATCATCTCAGGATCTAAATGGAAACTGTATAAAGCCTATCATTTTTACTGATTTAAACTGTGTAAACTCATTATTCTTTTTATGTAATGTGCTGTTGTTATTGTTTGCCTGCATAAAAATATTTATGAGGGTTTTCAACAGTTTACTTGAGACCTCATTTTTGCCCATTTTTTTCCTTCCCGATATCATGATCTCCTCAGCTGAACTCTCTTACCTTGGGGGTTGTTCAGGAACCTGCCTCTCATGGGGAAAGAGGGATTACTATTTCTGTGTTCCTATCTCTTGGTAACTGCTTAATCACAGTCAGTCTTGAACTAATGGAAGGAGCACTGGGCCTGGGTTCTTGAGACCTGGGTTCATGTTCAGCTCTGCCACTGATTATTGTGACATTGGGCCAGTCACTTGGTTTCTCTGAGCCTCAGTTTCATCACCTGTTAAGTGAGGATAGTAATACCTGGCACAAATATCACAATATTAGTGATAATTGAATATAATTATAAGTACCAGATGGCTATTAAAAGCAAAATTAGGAAGTGCTGAATAACCATAATATCATTGTATTTGTAGCATTTTGGACCTTATCGATGAACAACTGAGAAAACTAGGTTTTTGAAATCTTTTATTTTTTAAAAGTAACTTCCTCCCATTTTTTATGTCAATTATAGAAAATTTTAAAAAGAAAATTAAATGTGCCTATAATTTTACAAGCCAGAGGTAACTAAGTTGCTATTTTTCTTTTTAGTACCTCTTGGTCTCATCATAAATTGTTCATCAATGTCAAAAACTTGGAAAATAACGATAAGCATATAGAAAAAAATAAAATCACCCATAATCACAAATCCTAGAAGCAATGTTAATATTTTGATGGATTTATTTCCAGACTTTTTCTATGGCTATGTATGCACACATATAATTTTTACATAGAAAAAGTCATAATGCATATAGTTTTGTTGCTTTTATACTTGGCATTTTTATCATGAATATTTTCCTACATTTATGTGAAGTATTTGTAAATATCATTTTCAATGGTGTATAATGTTTCATCATAGGATGACATGATGGTTTAGTTAACCATTTTCTTTTGTTGGATATTTGAGGGTTTTTCCAAATTTGGCCATTGTAATTTCAGGTAATTTCATTACCTAACTGAAAATATTTGCTTTGGTGACAGCAGAGGATTTTTTGTTGTTTGTTTGTTTGCTTGTTTTTGAAGAAGTCCTTTTAATAGCTACATTTCATTGACTAAATGGAACTTCAAGAGACAGGTAGAAGGAAAAAAAAGAAATAGTAGATGTAATTTTAAGATTGAGGATTTATTTTGTTGGTGACTGTTCCAGAAGCTGAATTTTGGTGTTAGAGCAATTTAGGAGGGACAGTTTGCCACCATTTTATGATACTTTACTGTAGAAAAGTTTTCAGGATTCAGACCAGGAAAGAGACATCCTAACCATATACATTGATTTTATTTTATGGGCCCTGTGAAATCTGGGACTGATCAGGTTTCTCTTTTGTTGGCTGCTAGAAAGCTTGGAGCCAAATGTGTGGTCAATGCATAGCACTTGTAATGGGACTCTACGGTATGTATGCACTTTGTATTAGCTTTCTGCCAGGCTCCATTTCATGTTCCTATTTTTATTGTTTTTGTTTTTTCCTTTTACTTTTATATCTGCTTTGAATTTATGCTATCATGTTGTATTTTGTGTATTCTTGTAAGCCACCTGACATCCATCTTGGAACATGGTGGGGAATAAACACATGAATGAATAAATAAATACATTAATAAATACATGAATAAACCAACCAATAAGGAAAAAACAATGAGGCAAATGAATGCAGCCAGGACTCTGAAAATTGCATATTGCCTCCAAAAATAATCAATGTTAAGGACTTGAAGCTTGGAAGAACATATTGGAAAGAAGCAGGTGAGGCTGTGAGGCTGCATTTAGAGGTGACATGTTCTGTGTGATGTCTGTGTCTACCGAAGCATGCTTATATGTTTTGTGTCTTCTACTGCACTTGAGCACTAGGTGTGTTTCAGAGGATATGCAATGCTGTGTAAAGGACTGTATCTTTAGAGGGCACAGTTCATGTGCATTTTATTTGTGG